ACCATATTACTAGAATAAAGGACAAAAACTACATGATCGGGGCTGGCCCGGTGGTGCACTGGATAAGTGCGCCACTTGGGAAGCGTGGCGGTGCTCCCGCCCGAGGGTTTGGATCCCACATACAGACCGGTTCCCGCTCACTGGCTGAGCGAGGCGTGGGAGCAACACCGAGGGTTGCGATCCCATTGCCGGTCCCCGGTCCGGTACGGGGGCAACACTGAGGGTTGCAATCCGTTGCCGGACACGGAAAAAGACAAAACAAACAAACAAACAAAAAAAAACTACATGATCACCTCAACAGATACAGAAGTATTTGATGAAACCTAAGACCATTTATTATTGAAATTTGAAAGTAAGAATAGAAGTTTTTCAACCTGACATAGGGCATATAAAAATGCTGCACCTAAAAGCATACTTTATGGTATAAGACGAATGCTTCCTCGCTAAAACTGGAAGCAAAGCAAGGATGTTTGCTCATATGTCTTCTATGCAACACCATACTGACAGTTCTAGCTAGCATAATAAGGAAAGGAAAGGAAATCAAAGGCATACAAATTGGAAGGAGAAAATAAAACTGTCTTTATTACAAGTAACAGAATAACTATGTAGAAAATATTAAGGAATCTACAAAAAACTTCCAGAACTAAAATGTGAGTTTAATGAAGTTGCAGTGTACAAGATCAAAACAAAAGTCAAATGTTTTTCTATATATTAGCAAAGAGCAATGTGAAAATAACATTAAGAAAACAATTTCATTCACAATAAATCTAAAAGAATAAAATAGCTGGGAATAAGTTTAACAAAAAAAGTACAAGATCTGTACATTGAAAACTACAAACCATTACTAAGAGAAATTAAAGATCTAAATAGATGAGGAGATATAGCACATTTATAAATTGAAAGGTTCAATGTTAAGTTGGCAATTCACCCCAAATTATTCTATAGGTTTAATGCAACCCCAAAATCTCAGCAGGGCTTTAATTTAACAAAATATTAAAAAGACAATCCTAAAATTTCTACGAAAATGCAAAGGACCTAGAGTAGCCAAAATCATTTGAACAAAGAGAAGAAAGTTGAAGTACTCAGACCCTTTCATTTCAAGTCTTATCATAAAGTTACAGTGATTTAGAAAGTGGGGTGTTAGCATAAGAATAAGCATATAGATCAATGGAGACCAAATAGGGAGTATAGAAATAAACTTTCACATTTCTGCTAAATCACTGTGGGCAAAAGTGCTGAGGCAACTCAATGGGAAAGGATAGATTTTTCAACAGATGGTGCTAGAACAAATGAATATGCATATGCAAAAAACCAAACAAAACAAAAACTTAACTCTCTTACTTCACACTGTAACACTATACACAAAAATATCTTAAAATGGGTTACAGACCTAAATATGAGATGAAGCAATAAAACTTGTAGAACAAAACATAGAAAAAGCTCTTGATGACCTTAGGTTAGACAAAGATTTCCTAGATATTACATCAAAGGAATGATCCATATAAGAAAAAAGTGATAAACTTGACTTTATTGAAATTAAAAACTTTCGTGCTTTAAAAGGTACCATTAAGAAAATGAAGACAAGCCACAGACCAGGAGAAAAAATTTGAAAATCATATGTCTTACAAAGGACTTGTACTCTTCATAAATAAAGAACTTTTACAACTTAATAAGAAGAAAAACAGCTCAATATACAAATGGGCAAAATATTTGAATAGGTACATTATCAAAGAAGTTATGGAAGTGCTATTAACACATAAAAACATGGTAAACACTTAAAAAGATTAAAGAAATACACAAAGGTATCACTACACACTAACTAGAATGACCATAATAAAAAAGGCTGATTATAACAAGCGTGGGCAATAGTGGGAAAAAACTAGGCACCTCATACATTGCTGGTGGGCATATAAAATAATACACCCATTTTGGAGAACATTCTGACAATTTCTTAACAATTTAAATATATACTCTTCATATAACTCAGCAATACCACTCCTAGGTATCTACCTAAGAAAAATGAAAACATATGCACACACAAACACTTGCATCCTAATGTTCATAGCAACCTTATTCATAAATGCCCCAAACGGAAAACAACTCAAATGTCCATCTACTGGTGAATGGACAAAACAGGGTAGTATATCCATGCAATGGAATACTACCTGTTAATAAAAGAAACAAACTTCTCATACACACACCAATATGGGTAAGTCTCAACAGCATTATACTAAGTAAAATACTACATACTGTATTATTCCATTTATAAAAAAATTCTAGAAAGGCAAAATTATTCAGAAAGCAGATTAGTTGTTACCTGGGGCTGGGGGTAGGAGTGGGGACAGGCAGCAAATGGGCATGAGGGAACTTCAGAATCTTTAGAACATGTTCTAAAGATTATGGTGACTGTTACACAATGATAGCATTTTAGTAAAACATATTGATGTATATACTTACATTGGTGAATTTTATGGTATTTAAAGTATAACATGATGTATGTTTTAAAAAATTAAATACACCCTAATAATTAAGATATTTTAAAGCAAGGCATATGTATATACAATGCCATCCCATCTTAAATGCACTATATATATTCATATATGTGATAGTAGACTACAAACTTCCTGGAAATACATATATACAAAAAACCAGGCATTTTTGCTTCTGAGAAAAAGAACTAAAATTTGAGACAGAACAGAGAATTACTTTTTATTTTATACCTTCTGACATTATTTGCTTAAAAAATTAAACTATGTACATTATTACTTTATAAATAAAAAATCTTAGTAAATAATTAAAAACAACCAGCCACAGTCCTGATAAAATGACCCAAGCCTGTAACTGCTCTTGTAGATCTATGCTTGTCTGAATGAAGTCATGAGCACTTCTGAGTAGCCTATAATAAGATAAGCAAAGTGAATTTCATCACAAAGATATGGTGCTAGTTCCTATTAATTTCAGAGAGCTGAGTACAAATTGTGGGAATTTGGGGAAACTCAAGAGATTTTCTACTAGAAGTACTTTGGGCATCACAGAGCATTCTGCAGTTCTACACTAGCCAAAAAATAAAAGCAAGTCCATTACCCCCCAACACAAACAAAATGCAAACAAAACTTTGATTACCTGAGGATTAAGAGTGTGTGTGTGTGTGTGTGTGTGTGTGTGTGTGTGTATGAGAGAGAGAGAGAGAGAGAAAGAGAGAGAGGGAGAGAGGGAGAGAGGGAGAGAGGGAGAATGAGCAAGAATAGGGTAGCCTAGCTGATAGAAGGCATAAAATAAATATTTACAGAAAGGTACAAATTGCAATAATATAAATAAAGGATTTCAAAGTAGTTTTTCTGCTATGCCATGCTTTTAAAAGAAGCCTTTATATATAAAATGTGTCCAAGTTTGTTTCTATGAATCACCCAGTGGATACAGCACAGTGATTTTCAGTCATAGCTTTTAAGATCAAGAAACTAATTTTCAATTGAACATTATGAAATATGATTGTTTAATGAGGAATATTTGTTTTAATGTTAAACTAGCAATGGGAGAAACTGTGAACATCTAATTATCAGAATTCAAGTGCTATTTTGTAATAAAGCCTTCAGGTGGTCAAATTGAAGATTGTTTTGTTATCATATTAATTTCCCTTTTTAACATAGGAAGTAATCCAGGTACTTGGCATAGTGTTGCTCACAAGGACCTAGTATTTGGTGTCCATTTTCAAACAAGGAATTACCAACGTAACACCTCCTTGAAGGGGAAAGGACTGCAGAGAGGGCCAAATAAACCATAAATGGGGCTCTTTTCAGCTTTGACTGCTTTCTCTTACATTTCAAACTGACAGGACTTTCATGCTGTTTTGAGCCTGTTGAATAGGCAATCATATATGTTTGCCACACGTGTGTTCTTCATGCATGAGTTCCTCACAGTATTGCTTTTTCTGACCTGCTGTAATTTACTCAACAGATATTTAGTGAGCACCTATTTTGGGCCCCTCAACACTAAGAACACTACCATCGGGTTGGGTGGTATTATTATCCCATCGTAACAGATGAGACAGCTGAGGCTCATGGACTTTGAGTGTCCTAAGTCCCAGAATTAATAAGTGGGAAAACCAGGACTTAGCCCGAGCCTTTTCTTTTATGCTGTTTTTGAGTATCTTCTTTATCTCTGGCCCCTGTCCTCCTTCTTCCCCCTAGCCTCACTGATCATCAAGAGCAAAGAACACAGACATGAAGGAAGGGCCCTCTGTGTTGCCCCATTCCCTTCCTCATAGAGACGGAAGAGGGAAGAAACGTCCAGGGCTCAGAGCTTCTGCCACATTCTTCACTGTTCCCATGTCCATACTTCAGCCAGAACACAGCCCAGAACTCCAGCCTTGACCCTGACCCTGTTCCGTAGCTTCCTTCCCAGCTCCTCGGAGGCACTATGGCTAATTGTTGCTGGAACTGTCCCTGTAGTAGTGGAAGCAGTGTCTGAACAACCCTATTCAGAACTCTGAAAAGATTTTTCTACAGCAACATAGCTCCCAATGGTCCTTATAGGAATTATCAAGACCTATGCTTAGGCTTGGTAGAGGTTGAACCAGTTTCCACCTACTAACCTGGAATCCTACGCACAATTCAAAGCATTTCTTCCATTGGAAGAGCACATTTCTTAATTAAATCAATGGGAAACGAGTTTGCATTCTGTACAACTGATACATTAGTACACTTTTGAAATAGAACACGTTCATAGTTGGGGATTCAACTTTACCCTCCAAGTTCATAATAATATGTTTGTAAGACTGAAAGCACTATTATTATTGTATTTAATATAAAATAGGAAAAATATATTTCCAAATTTAAAAACACAACTTCCTTTACTCATATTTGTCCCTTTTACTCTTTTACCTTTATTTTTTTAAAGTGTGATTTCATTTAACTCCCAAGAAAACCTCCATTTTAACAATATTGCAAAAGGTCCTACTATTTTACCCACATATTTCATTGCTGAGCCAGTGTTTGTCTTACCTCCTCGGTGGATAATCAAAGAAGTCTCACTTCCAATAGGGCAGTCCTTAAGTATATCCACTACTTCTGTATGGCTCAGGTTCTGTACATTCTGCTGGTTGATCTCAACAATGAGGTCACCTTCACACAGGCCAGAGCATCCCTGAATGTCAAGTATTTGTTTCACCCGCTGTCCTGTAGGACTGTCGGCAATAGTGAAGCCAAAGCCCTGGGCACCTTTCACAATGGTTAAGGTCATAAGTTCAGCTTGGGTGGCCCCAGATGAAGCCATAGACACATTGTCATCATGGACGGGTGGTGGATACGTGCCATCTAGCTGACCATCAGCTGGCATGGAGTGCAAAGAATGAGGTGGCCGATCTGTTATATCTGGAACTGACTGTGAGGTCCGAGAAATGTATTCCAAATATGTTTCATAGTTATGTCTTCCATTGACCATCACTGGAGGTGGCCTCTCCATTATTGCAAGGGGTGGCACCATGCTGTTAGCAGGATCTTCAGGGTCAAAGGGCAAAGGGTAGCCACGACACAACACCAGGTTGACACTCTGACCAATAGGAACAGACTGGAAAAGTTTGACAACATCTGCATGAGTGTGTCCAAGGACACAAACTTCATTAATATAGACAATGACATCACCTGCAAGGAAAAAAGAGAGATCGACAACATGAGGTAAGTTCAATTAATGTTGACAGAGCAAAATGGAATTATTTATGAGACTAGTGAAAGAGGTGCTCTGTTTCTCAGTAAGCAGTGAAAAAATCAATTAGAATAATACTTAAATCCAGTGTAGGTGACTCAAGGTTACAATAGGTCTGCCAACACATGCAATGATCAAATGCTGAAAAAAATGCTATTTGGTTGGTCTTGAAGCTCAGAAATGACTTCATATTCAGAAAGGAAGGCCCAGAAAGAAAAGTTAGAAGAACTTGTACCATGAAGAAGCACAAGTTCTATACTTTTTCATCTTAATGTCCATCTTCAGTGCAATTCAATTAATGGAATTTTCACACTATTGTGAAGTGGCGGTCATGAGTCTTGACAAAAAAGCAAGCCGAGGCATATGTTTTTGTGTGTGTGTGTGTGTGTGTGTGTGTGTGTGTGTAAGTTGAATGATCAATTGCCCCTTTTCTTTTTTATGGAAGAGGAAAATATTGGCCCATTAATTTTCTTCCATCTATAGCAGGTGCCATTGCAAGGCTTCCATATATATACAAGTAAAAGTCAAGAACACAGGTTTGGGGATCAGGAAACTGGGTCCATATCCTGGCTCTTCTACTTAGATATGTGATATTGGGCAAGTTACTAAACTGCTTTGAGCCACAGTTCCTTGTTTATAAAGTTGTTGCGAACATGAAATTAGATAATGCAGGAAAAGTGCTTGGCACAGTGCCTGACGCATGGTGAGTGCTCAATAAATGTGAACCAGTATTAATATTTATTATTGTTGTTAAAATAGTATGAAGGAGATTTGAGACCCTGGCTCTCAAATGGGAAGCAGCCATAGGCTAATCCTCTGATCTTAGGTAAATTGATATTTCTGTTGATCATTTTTAATAAAGGCATTTGTTCTCTCTCTCCAATGCATTATCCCAGATTTGTAGAGGTCCACCGTTTAGAAGCTAACATGATAATATTAGAAATGCCCTGAATGCAAATTATTCATTGTAAAATATATTGAGAAAAACAATTTTTCCTCCTTAAAAATGCAGAAAAACACGGTTGCTTGAGATAATTGTTTTAAAACTTTTCAGTTATGTATGAATAACAATTTTATTTTTGGAGAACTGTTCTATCATGGATTGGTATTTTTATTTTGACAAATCATAATACTTCAAAATTAAACTTGCAAATTGAGATTGTGCCTGACTATGCTGAAAAGTATATGAAGATGAAAAGACATGTTTTCATAGACTGTTAAGTGAGTAACTGCAGATATTAATTTATCAGGATAATTCTCAAACGGGTAATGCATATGGCTAGGGATTTCACTCTGAGACTTCCTTGCCCATCAAGATTGTAAACATCAAAAATGAAAAACAGAGTTGAACTTTCAGAGTTAAATACTTTTCTGGATTTTCTTAGGTGTATGATATAAAATAACTTTTCCACTAAATGCACTTAAAAATAAATAATTCTGCTTTAACAATAAATAATACTTTCCTGAGTAAAGTGCTCTCAACAACATTGACTCGATTAAGACTCACTCTTTCCAAATCTTGGAGAACTGTTTGAAAGTGCTAAAGATATGGACAGAAAAGCCAAACAGACATTTTCAGGGATCCAGGGATCCAGACATATGAGGGATCCAGATATTTCCCGCCTCCGGAAAATAGCACAGACTATTTGATTGGTGAGATGGAACTTCACTCTTCCATTATGTCCATCGGAGAGGGTGCTGGTGTGATGCCTGGGATCGTGGACCAGGACTCGGAACTGAGTTGGAATGGGCATCCCACCTCCGCTAGTACGAGTGTTCATCAGACTGTAGCATCCAGGGATGCTTTGGGCACCACTCTCAGGTAGACTAGTGTTTTTCTCCTTCTGCCTTTCAGATAGACTAGATTTTTCTCCTCCTGCCTTTTCTATTTTAAAAGTTATTATGTATATTTTACACATTGAAAAGGTTGAAAGGATAACAAATACCTGTGTACTATAATCCAACTTAATGATCAGAGCATTGCTCATATTAGTGGAAACCCACTTGGCTAGTACCTCTCCCCTCACTTACTGCCCTTTCCAAATGTAACCATTGTCTTGCATTTGAGGTTTGTTATTTACGTGTCCTTTATATTTTATGTCATGTCTAGGTAGGTGCCCATAAAAATAATATCTCTAAATAGTATTTAATCCCTAAATAAGAATCCCTGAAAAATGTTTTACATATTTTAAACCTTTTATAAATAGAATACATTTTAATATTCTGTAATTTCCCTCAAAATATATTTGGGATATTTATCTATTTTGATACCTGCACCTCTAGTTCATTAGTTTTCACTGTAATATAGCATCTATTGGATGACTACGTTACTATTTATTAGCATTTATCCATTCTTCTGTTAATAGACACTGGGGTTCTTGCAAATTTTTGGCTATGAAAGATGACTATGATTTGAATTTCTTTCCATGGCCCTTGTGCACATATGGGAAAGGTTTTCTGAGGTATGTACGTTGGCCTAGAATTGCTGGGCAGAGGCCATTTGCACCTTCATGTCTGATAATGACAAATGACTGACAAAATAGGTCAAATCAATTTACACTCCCATCGGTAGTGGATCAGAATTTTCACTGCTCCCCATGTGACAGAATACTTGGTATTCTCAGACTTAATTTTCGCTAACCTGATGGGTGTGATCATGGTTTTAATTTGTATTTCCCAGATTGCTAGTAAGGGTTAGCATCTTTTCTTATGTTTATTGGCCAGTCGGCTTTCTTCTTGGGTACATCTCATTTCCCAATCTTCCTATTAATGAGTTTTTATTATCACACATTAACTATTTTTGATGCCCACTTTCATTCCTGATCCAACATTTCCTGTAGGTTTGGGAGGCTGCATGGTAGTGATCTCAGGGGATATGTTGTCAAAAGACTTTGGTCTGAGTTCTGGCTCCATCACTTACTGGCTGTGTGACTTCCAAAAACTAGCTTACATCCCCTGTGACTTAGATTCTTCAGACGTAGTGAGGGACAGTAATAATAGCAACGTACTGTTCTGTGGGAAATAACAAATGAGATCATACAGCTGAAAGAGTTTGTAAGCTGTAAATTGTTATGCAAAGGGAGATCGCTATTTCAGTAATTATCATCTGTCCTTGGTTATAATCCTTCAAAATCAGGACAGTCCCACCAAGATATTCCCACTGTAGTCATAGGCAAGGATGACTCGAGTATGATTATGGAAATGATGCATTTCTGAGAGGGCAAGTGAAAGGCAGGAAGGTAACACATGCCACTTTCCTCTAAGGCTCTCCCCGACTTTAATTGCTAACACATCCCTCAGGCCCAAGCAGGCTTCATCCTTCCCTCCGCTCTGCCAGCATTTCATGCAAAAAAAGAACTGAGGGTAACGTTCCAAGCTCTCAAGGTTCCCTGCCAGGTCTAAAGAGTAGTTATTTGAATTATAGTGATTAATGTTATCTATTTTTGAGTTTTAATGTGATCTAGCTATTTAGAAACAGAACAAGAACTATTTGTGGTTCTTAGTAAGACTGCCTTTTAAAACTTATGTATATTTTCCACTCAGAGAAATTTTTCAAGACATCAAGCAAGCAAGTGATAAAGAATCCTGCAACTATATCTTTATGAAGATACACAGAAGATTTCTGAATGTACAAGATGAGTGGTCAGTTATCACAGGATAAAACTAACAACTTGGTAGTACTCAACTGCCCACTTTAAAAAATATGTGGATGCCTAGATAATGTGTTATGCCAAAAACTGTTGTAGATGGAGAAGCAAGCAAACATTTGCTTGTTCAGATAGAACTGACTGGGTAGGATATTTATAGTCTATGCTCTATGAATGTCATCTACATGTTGCAAAATAAAAATATGAGCCACCTGGTATATGTCATCTGATAGTGCCATGCCAAGTCCTGTGAGAGACTGGATTTAAGAGCACAGAAAGGGACGTCATTAGGAAAACTGGCTCAAGCTCCAAACCACTGGACTACTTAAGAGGGAGAATTGGAGAAGAGTCACTTGATCTCTCCATCTCTCGATTTTTTCTATTATAAAACGAAAATTAAAATATTTTCTCCATTTCCTCTTTTGCAGGGCTATAGTGAGAATGAGATCATGCTTGTGAAAATACTTCGAATTTTACCAAAGAAAGGTTCTCTATAAAAATAAGATGGTACATTTCTTTTGAAAGCTAGGCACATATTTTCATTACCATATTGCCTGAAAGCTTACATTATTTCCTGTATGGTCATTCACTTTTGGCCATATTTAGGCCAGATGGTTTTAAGGCTAGATACCTCAGGCTTATTGGTCAGATTGGGAACAAACACAATCAAGCACTCATCAGAGCTTGGTGTTCCTATAGGTCTGGTCTCACAATGATCTGATTCCCAATTATGGGATTTCAAATTGCAGGTGAGTGAGAACGGAGGTTGATGAGCAGGAGGTTTAAAACAGTTGTCCTGCATGAGAAAATGTTCTAAGATACTTTCTTTCTTAGTCATGGAAATCAGAATACAGCATTGGCTATCTCATGGATACCTCATCCTTTTGGACAAACTAGGGCACTCTCCATAAAACATTGTTTACGTTGGAATTATTTGTATACCTCTCTCCTCTGCTCCCACATCCTTTGCCTCACGGTGGCCTGCAGGATCTGCCCTTTCAGAATCTCTCGCTCCCACCTGCTGCCTGCCTTCCTGACCACCACCTTGGACCAGACTGGAAGAATTTACTTCTCATTCAGATCTCATCTTACGGTCTACTCTATTAAGTTCTTAACTTTAAACTAATCAGTCGCTGCAATTACTGTTTAACACTCTTTACCAACAGTCTTTCTAACTTTTGCCTTCACCACTCAGGAAGTTACCATTCTTGTGAAGCTGGTATCTCCTGGTCACACCTTGCAACTTGCTACTTGCCTTCTAGGCAAATTCCGCTACTCCTCTACCCTCCATG